AGAACGATGGTTTAATGGTACATATCACAGTGAGTGGCATAAAATATGAAAACACATCTAGTTTAGGGTATTTAATTTGTGATTTGTGCGTATTAGCATATATTATATAGTACAAATGGAATCCTAAGTCACATTAATAATAATAAGAAATCAAATTCTTATCTTCTTTGTTTCCACTGACCATTTAGTCCAACAAATCTGTCATTTACTTTGTTATAGAGATTCTAAGTTCAAATCTTATAGACGATTATGACCCAAATTTTTTTTGTAACATTGACCCTTAAGTCATATGATGATTTTGAGCAGGTAGGGAACTCAAGTGTTGCTATAAGGCCACAATTGACGCATTTAGTGCCATCTAATTTCCACAAACTCTGTGACTTCAAGGGGCAATGTGCCATAATTGGCTACACAAACAAGTCCTTCAAGTTTGGTGCATTCAACCCTGAAGGCCTACAGAAGCACAAACGACAACTTCCTCTTCTACTGGACAGACAATGCCATAACTGATCCAATTGTTCTGCCCAAGGTAGGAGGCAGTGGTGCAGCCCTTTTTGACATGCCCCGACCCCGATATTCCCCGAATACCAGGATAAGCACGTGCTGGCCGACACCCGAGGGTGACGAAAGCCATTTATTAAGTGCAAATTCTGAAAATAAGGGATAAATAAGGCTTATAAATATAAAAGAATAATTAATATGCAAATAAGGACCATGTTCAGAGCACACCTCTAATCTAGAACACTAGAAGAAAATAATATAAAATTGAATAAAACAAAGGAGTGGGTCCTACACCGAGAGGACTCGAAGATGCCGATGCAGAAGTGCCTGGACGTCGGGATTATATGCCTCGATTCTAAGTCCTGAAGGGGGCGCAAAACAAACATGAGTGGACCAAGTTGATATATATATATAATAAAATAGTTATCAACATACTAACCCCCAGGTTTTATGAAAACACAAATATAATGATAAACATAGGTTTTCCGAAACCTAGCATGTCGTGCAATATCTCAAATCATAATTCGTATAAAATAATAAACACTAGTGAATGTCCGATATAACACTTCAGGCCCCATGCCGGCTCCCCGTCTCTGAGCAGACAGTCAGAGGAAAATGCACTTCAGGCCCCTTGCCGGCTCCCCGTCTCTGAGCAGACAGTCAGAGGAAAACACACTTCAGGCCCTATGCCAACACCAAACCGTCGCCCGGGACGGACCGGATCTATCCCTACGTCCCGTAGCGGAAAGAACCACTAGGTAAGTACAAAACCAGTGAACATACGTATATTGAAAATCAACTTCATAGTATAAAGTCATCCATCATCTATACTATAAAGAAGTGTTCTAAACATGTTCTAAATATCATATCGTCATCCATCAGATATTCTATAAGAACATGGGTTATAGGAAAAATAGTAATAATTCAAACTAGCCTCGATAAGCATGTTATCTCGTAAAACGTTCATAAAACATAATCATCAAATCATGCTTTTCATGTATGCATTTATACTATCAAAACATGCATTTTTAGAAGGGGTCCACTCACAGTACTTCGCCGTCGAAAAGCCACGCCATCTAGCGAAGAAGGAAACGCCACAGATAATCGCCCCTAAGCACATAAAGGGTACATTTAGTCAAACTCTACTCAAACGACTGAATTTGGGGAAACGGACATCGAAAACGGGTTTAGAACGTCGAAATTAGCCTAGGAGGGTACCCGCACGAAACTCAACGGGTCAAAGTCAACATGTCAGAGTCAACGGGTCAAACGGGTCAACGGGTACGGGTCATGGGTCACGGGTCACGGGTCAGGCTTTAGGGTTTTGGGTTAGGGTTTTGGGCTAGGTTTTTAAGTGGGTTGGGTTGGGTAAAAACAGAAAATGGTTTGGGTTTTGGGGCTAACAGGCCCGAAGGCCTTAAATAAGAAAAAGGGTAATGGGTTTTGGGCTGCAACCAAGGCCCTAAGGCCTTTTGGGTTTTTAAAATGAAATAACTAAAAACAAAAAAGGAAAGGGTGGGGGTATTGGGCCAAAGACCTAAGTCAGGCCTAAGGCCCGCGGGGAAACAGAAATGGCCCGAAGGCCTGGGTGCCCGGAGAAGAACACCGGAGCTTCCATAGCTCCGGCCAACTTCAAACACTCGAACTAGACCCCGATCTAGGTACCAAAATGAAGCACTAGCCGAGAGGAGTAGTTTTATACCTTGGGTTCGCCGTGAAACGGCTTGTGGTGGCCGGAAAAGCCCTCGGAACCCACCCGACTCACCGGAAATTTGGGTGCCTTCACCCGTGCCAAAAACACTCCAAAACCTTGGAAATCAAGAACCCAAACTCAATAACCACATTTAACCAACATCTAACTTGACTAAAAAGGAAGAAACCATGCTTACCCAACCGGAAAAACAACCAAAACTCGCCGGAGGTGCCCGTACCCTCTTTGCGCCGTGAGCAATGGAGAGAGAGAGAGAGCTAAGGTTTGGTGATGATGATGGTGGCTGTGTCCTCAAGCAGGAGAGAAAGAAAGGTGCAGACAAACCAAAACAAAAGAAAAGAAAAGAAAAGAAAAAGAAAAAGAAGAAAGAAGAAGGGAAAGGATGTCACGGCAGGGGGGACAAAACAGGGGGTGGGCCCCTTGGGCTCACCAAATAAGGTTTAAAAACAATTTTAAAAAGAAAGGTATCCCCAAACTTAGTGAAAATACAAAAATACCTATTTTCTTATGTAAATCCCGGGACGGGTTCTTACACTTTTCGATTATGCTCGGGCGGGCTGCAATTTCGGTCCGATGGGCTGCTTATCAGGCCACCTCTAGCGCCGCCTGCCCAGATACTAATTTGGGTAGTGGTGATATAAGGCAAGCCGAATGTCGACTAGGATTGCCATATTCAAAGAGGGAGGATGGAAAGGAGTCACTTTTTGGTGATGAGTCTAGAGCAACGGCAGCCTTTGCAGAAGTTGGAAGTTTATTGTAGTCCTCAAATTGCAAGCTTGTACTAAATTTAAAGTGTATATATACACACACACATACTGATCAAAGTTCTATATACTCCCTGCTTATACATGTACATGTAACCACGTGCATACATCCTCCTCTACAAATGCGGTGACGCTGTCAAGAGGATTATGCAATGCATACTCGGTTATACATAAGTGTTTCTAGTATACGTGCGCCCTCTTCATTGACATGGCTGATTTCATGACTTTCCTGATGAAGCTACTTCCTCATTTCATTTTCAACCAAAACAAGTGGAGAATACTCATTATTTTTCTTGGACGACAAAGGAAAAGTCGCAGGCACTTATTCGATACTTTAGACGAAGCAGTAGGTACTGATCTACTGATAGTGAAACGAAATGTATAGTAGTAGGGGGCGGGAGAATCTTTTTTAAAAAACAATGGTGGGTCTTGGTCTCTTAGATAGGAAAGAGTAAATTATAGGCCTTTTAGGATGGCAAAGCAATAGCTTTCCTAAAGTGAAGTGACATATGGGTATAGTCTCTTCTCTTTAACAAGATGCTTAACAAGGTGAACAACTGGAAAACTTGAGCTGAGGGAAATGTACATTGTTATTGGGTGTGGCCCTGTGGGTGGCACCCTTTAATTTTATGGCCTTTTCAAGGCATCATGCCCATATTTAAATCTATTATTTTTAATTGTCTCAAAAATAAATTTACAATTTGTTTCTTTTGGTGGAATGTTCACACTACTAACTGTCCAAAAATGTAGTGGCTGCACTTTTCATAAGAAACTCGTGTTTGGGGTTGTCAAAAAAACACCTCAAAGGTTGAAGAATGAATGGAATTCTGATGGGTAACTTCAGTTCAGCCCCATATGATTAAACCAGAGCAACTTCAAACTTAGGTAGAAAACTGGAAGCTCCAATTTAAAGACTGCTATAACTTCTCGGAGTATCAGAGGATGAGATTCTAAGTTTGAATCCGCATGACCGCATGCATAATTCAAATTTTCAGAACAATGTTCTAACTATAAAAGTTTGAATGATCACTCAACTCCATTGTCCCACTGAACAACAACAAAGCAATTTACTCTAATAGCTTTTGAACAGATAAGTGGTGGAAGTCTATCAAGTATCAAGGGGCCCTCAGGCTTAGAGCTTTTCCACTGTAAGCTCTCAAAGTTATATAATGTAATTTTTTGGATTAGAAGCAGCCAAAATAAAAGATCAAGTTTAACAGAAAAGTGAATCTTCAATCTTCAAAAGATGTGGGAATTCTAGCAAGTGAAACTCTTTTAGCTAGTTACCCACCAAATTGAGTTGATTACAAACCAACAAAAAGCATAAAAAATGTGTCTAAACTCTAACTCCCTAATGAGATTATGGGATGGCTTATCAATACATTAAAAAGTTCACTTTCTCACTAGCTTTAAATCTCAAGAGAATATTTTGGAAAAATTTCAATAATTTGAAGGAGCATGATGATTGAAGGTGGTTGAAAGTTTAAAACACAAGTACTACTGCCTTCAGTTCACATGCTCAACCTTATCTCTCTTTTTGTTACTCTGTTTAGTATTTAATTGGCGTACTTACAAACTAATTATTCTTTGCCTTATAAAAAGTTGAACATAGGTCAGTTAGTTAAGGTAGTGTGCCCACACTCTTGCACACGAGCTCGAGTCCCCCTCTCAATACATTAGGGTTGTACTGCCTTGTTAAAGAAATGATAAAAAGTTAGAACATAGGCAGACGTGAATTAGGTTAGTTGGTTAAGGTAGTGTGCTTACCCTCTTGCACTCGAGCTCCAATTCCCCTCTCATTAGATTAGGGTTGTAATGCCTTTTTAAAGAAATGATCAAAAGTAAAAATTATAGGCAGACGTGAGTTAGATCAGTTAAGATAGTGTGTCAACTCCCTTGCACCTAACCTGCAATCCCCCTTCTAGTTTATTAGGATTGCATCGCCTTGTTAATAAAGAAAATATAAAAATTAGAAGACAGTTAAAAGAGATCAACATTAGAAGATAAGAAGTAAAAGCACTATGTATAACAAGTTCATAAGTTCTAGTATCATATAAAAGGAATCAAATAAATAAAAGATGCTTCCACATACATGCACAAGGCATGGAAAATACACTGTATAGATAATAACCACAAGGTAGCATACATATTTAACAATAAGACTTTTTAAAACCATACAAGTAAATAGAAAAACCAACACCAAGTGCAATCGATAAAAGTGATTCACTCGGAGAAACTAACAGATTGCAAAGTAAAACAAAGTAGGAAGTTCAGAAGTGGCTTCTAAAACAACTCCAAACAACAGATGAAGGACACATGCTACTCCTGAAAAGAAAACAAGCCACTCGTTATATGTAAAAGACGAGTGATCATAGTTATCTTATACTACCAAGAACCAACATTAAAAGGCGTTGTCTTGGATATCGACTGTGGATGACACAATACATTGTACCGGGTTGATCAATCCTGCACCGGGCCGACCCCTACATCACAATGACCATATTGTCTTCCTGTAACCAAAGTCCTCCTAATTCCCCCAAACTTCCATCTGCACTCACTTCCCTGCAAATTAGAGCTTGCCTATCCCGTGTTTCAGACCCTGCATTAGAAAAAAGGAGCGATAAAATGATCTTTCAGTTCATCTTTTCAGAAGGGGTTTTGATATCTCGGTGAACTGGTTTGGTCAAGACCTTCAAATTGCATTTCCTCATTCCCATAGTAACCCACGTAGTCTGTGTGTCCAGAGAATGGTGACATGCCACCTATTTGATGCACATCATCGGCCATTTCAAGGTCCCCTGTGAAATTTGAGTATGATGAGCTAGGTGATTCTCTGGGTTCATATGACTGCAACAGCATCATTGTGCTTGGAAACTCGTACTGCTGAAAGTAATCAGGCATAGCTTCTTGTAACTGTGGGTAGTCCTACAGTAAACCCAATGAAAAATGTTTGAGAAAGTTGTAACAATATGAACAAATATCATTAGTCCTCCAGAATTTCATGGTTTTCTTTTTCTCTTATCAATACCTTAGAAGAATCAAGAATTAAATCAGGTGAGACCCAAAAGTCTGCACAGTTGGTCTCTCCCAAAGCTGGCTCAAACTCTGCCATTGGATTAATTTCATATGGAGAAGTAGCGCGGCTTGAATAATGACTTTCGTTATTCAGGCAATTCGAATGTAATATATCTGCAGAGATGCTTAAGGGGTCGGTTGAGATTCTTATTGAGGTCATATCCTCCTTATTGCTCAAAGCGCTTCCAAACCCCTTGGCCTTTGGCCCTTCATGGGAATCATGCGTCTTCTGTGCATGCTCATTCTTTTTAACAACACGGCACAAAGCAAAAACTCCCTGCAGACATGATCAAATTCCTGAATATAACTTATGGTTTCCGAAATGTATATAGTAGCATCAAAAGCTCTCTAAAATGAACAACTCCAGTTATAATTAGCATTTGATGGCATTGTAGGATGGATGTACCTGATGACCTGATGGCCCCGGAGCAAGATCATCGGTGAGGCGGTACTCATGCATGATCCAGTCTGTTCTATCTCCTAGAGGAGCACGTCCACGATAGAACACAAGGGTCTTGCGATACCCAGTCACATCAGATTGACAAACAACCTTGCGGTCTTTTCCAGTGGCCTTCCAGTAGCCTGCCTTAGTAGCTCTATTTGTTCTTGAACCGTTTGGATACTTTCGATCCCTAGGACAGAAGAAGAACCATTCCATGTCACGTCTTGGGAGGAAGGATTTTTCTGCAATCAAAATTCAGAGGAAAAAAAAAAGGAATTTAGGAAGAAAACAACTTTCATTGTTCTTGTACTTATAGGGGAATATATAAAGCCAATTATCTCGGCTTTTTGGTAGTAAAGTAACCTACATGCCCTGTCAAAAAAGGAAGATGATTCACAGGTTGAATTCATAAAAAGAACAAGAAAAGAAGCCAAAGTAAACATAATTGTATAACTCGCTTTATGGTATCAATCAAAACATTGATTAATTACTTAATCCAATACAGTCACAGAAGTACAATTTTAACAATAAAATTGAAGATGCATAACTCTAGTGCCATTAAAAACAGTGACATGCACGCCTGAGCGTAGCCAAGTTGGCCAGTGTTATCCCCGTGCACTCAAGTTCAAGTTCCTCATAGTTTAGACTAAAATAATTCACTTTCCTATTGCAGAACCAACTAGTTGCAATTCATTCAATCTCTCAGAAAGCATAACAATGGACAAGTATGTACAGAAATTGTCACTAGTAAAGAGTTGCAAGCATTGAATTACTAATTACCTGGCAACTCCCAGGGATCGAATTTGTACAAATCGATCACCGGAATAACTTCAAGCTCAAATTCGAGCCCCTCCACCTTTCTATGAAGGTAATATCCAACTAATTCCTCATCAGTTGGGTGGAACCTGAAACCTGGTGGCAGTGATGCTCCTCCCATAACTCCAATATCCCAATTTAAATGAAAAATAATAAAAATGAGAACAGAGAGCCAGGAAGATTATTTATGTAATGTTATGATGAAGAATGGCTAGAAAGTTATAGCTAATAAGTTCCCAAAATGTATCTATTAAAGATGTGGAAAATCCAGAAGTAAAAATTTTTATCAAAAATTGATTTCTTATCAAGAAGTGAGTAAAATTTCGACTGCGTGCACCCGTTGTCTAGCAGAATCATTGTCCTCGAAAACCGCTATCTTATGATCGATGCCCACCAATCCCCCTCACAACTTATTTCTTTAAATTCCCAAAACCATATGAAAATGAACGAAACTTGATCCCTTGAAGCAAATACCAGAAGCTGATATTGCTCAAATTTCACAACTAGGGTGCCAAATCCTTGTACCGAAACCGAAAATGTCCAAGAGAGAGATTGCTCTAGAAGTAGAAACTCTAGTTACTAATTCCGAAATCAGAACCTAGAACCTATAGCAATACACAGATGTTACACCGATTCAAAATTTGTTAAAAATTGAATTTTTTTTTGTGAATGGTTGGCAGTGGCAGCTAGAAAAATGTGGCCAAGAAAGGGATGTTGGTAGAACAAGAGTCAGTGTCAAGAAAACAAAATGGGAGAAGAGAGGGTGGGAGGGAAGAAAGGTAGAGTAAAAAGAGTGGGAAGTTGGGTGTGCTTATATATAGGTATTCTGGGGGAACCAACCGTCCAAAATGCACACAGGAAAACACCGAAAGTTTAAGAAGATTGCTTGTTGACGCAGACATAAAATTCCAAATGGAACTGGCCCACGTCCACATAACTCGAACTCAGTTCACACCCTACAGTTACTTCTTATCTCCCTCTCAAACTGAATTTCGACCTTTTGATGACTCAAACACGAGACGACTAATTAGGGTACATTGAACTCAATACAATTATACATTGACAGTTAGATATAGTCGTTGAATATGTCATTAGATCATATATAAATCGGTGATTGTACCAAATATACGAATGTATTTGTTGTAAAATCGACGGTGTGAGTGCAATGAAATAAATAAAACAAGACACAAAATTTACGAGGTTCCTCTACCGTCAGTGTGACTGGAGTACATCCTCGGACAGCAGTGGTGCTTTCATTATAATTTGGAATAATAGGAGTACAAAGATAACTCTATGTATTCTCTCATCTCCTCTTCCTCTCTTTCTTTCTCTACTCTGTCTTGAAAGCATACGGAGTGCTCTATTTATAGAGCAACTCCAAGCACACATCTTTGACAATATGATCTTCCTTCATCTCCCAAGTCAAGATTAATTTTTATGGGCATTGAAAATCTACCCAATGTCTTCAGTTTCTATGTGGGCATTCATTACCCACTATTATTTTCAACAGTATTGTATTTGTAGCCAAGTTTGAAATTTACATGCAACCAAAACATCAAGGTCATTGTATTCAAATTTGTGTGTGTCAATGTTTTAAAAGGTGAAGGCGTGGGCGAGGCATTTCATGGATAGCCCCGCCTAGGCGAAAGCCTTGGGGTGTGAGGCTTCGAGACCTAAATTTTTTCATATATATATATTATAATATGGGTTATATTAATTGTCATTCAAAAGTGCACACGTCGTCGACAAGTTTAACTCTCAAAAATAAATTTAACCAAGCAATCAAATTAATCAACAATCAAACAAATAGTCATACATTTAGAGTCTTAAGTAAGTCCCTATTTATATGTATATTAGAGTTTTGAGCAATATTTGGGTAGGATATGTAGTCTTAAAAAAAAAAATTAGAATAATATAATGTTCCTTTAAGAAAAGAATAATATTAATGTAAAAAATAATAATATTAATGTTTTATCTTTTTTTTCTTGGGTTGTCATGAGAATATCTAATAAAAGATACTTATCTATTTTCAAAATAAATAAAAACAAAAGCAAAAACAAAAAAATTCTTATCCATCTATCTTGCATTTGAGGAAAAAATAATGTAAAAATTAAAAGAAGAACAGAAAAATATAGTAGGATAATAAATATTAGTAAAGTGGGTCCGTTTATATTTTAAAGAGAAAAAATTATAAATAAAAATAAAATAAAACCCTCGTCATCATCTTCTTCTTCTCTGCAACTTCAACTTCACTGGGCACCCTAGCTCTGCAACTCAAAATATTACGGATTCTGCAACTTCAAAAAAGAAAAAAGGACGCCATTAAAACGCCTAGAGGCGCACCTTAGCAGCCTAGACGCGCCTCAACCATGTCTAGGCGTGTTTTCGCTCACTCCCGCTGGGCAGAGGCGATTTCATAGCCGCCCGCCTCTGAAGCCGCCTAGGCGCACCTCGGGGCGAGTTTTTTGATACACTGGTGTGTGTGTGTGTGTGTGTGTGTGTGTGTAAATAAATAAATAAGTATATATATAATCTGTTCGAATACAATTTAAGTTCCCAGTGCAAATCATCATGTACTTAATAGACATATATAGTTCTATACTACTTGTTGCAGTGAACAAATTATACTAGTTTGTAAAAAAATTTGTGTGAGTGATCATTCAAATACATACCAAAATCGTACATTATGGTATACCATTTGTCCCTTTCATAAATGTATATATGGAGATATAAATTAACCACGTCTAATAGGAGAAGAACACATGGATTATATGCTCTCTATGACGATTTCACCCTTGACATTGTGAACAGACCACAAACCACTTCACTAAACGTGGCATTCATCATGCAATCACACTCTTAATTGATTTAGTATACTGCAACAATGAATGTATTTTATGTTGTGAAATTTAATTATTGGGGGAGAGTACAAAGAGGTGGTGGCTAGAGATGAGAGAGAAGGAGAAGGGATTGAGGAATTATGTGTTAATTCCTCATATATAGTGTCATTATTTATGCTAATCGTGATGAACTTTACTAGCTCTACAAGTAATACAAGTCAAGGAAATATCTTCTAGATCCTTTGATTCCTACTTCTAATTTACACAATCACACTAATTACAAAATACTATTTAGAACATTTTATTTTGGGTAAATTACATAATACCCCCTCAGGTTTGAGGTCTATTACAACCCCATACAACATCTTTAAAACATTTCACTTTCATACCTCACATACTATTTTTTTTTTTTTTTTTAACATGTATCTTCTAAATAAAAATAAAAATAAAAATAAAAATAAAACAAAAAACAAAAGCTGAAGCACACCTCCCACAACCCCCAAACCCAGAAACCTTATCCCCCCCACGACCCATGCAGACGCACCTCCCTCCCCCCCCCCCCCCCTCTTTCTCCTCTCTTTTCCCCCATCTTCATCTTCTTCTCCCTGCAACCCAGGAAAAAAAAATCCCTTCAATTCGTCTTCCGCCCCCCGCCCCCCCCCCCCCCCCCCCCATCTTCATCTTCTTTCCCTTGCAACCCAGAAAAGATAAAAAAATAAAAAAAATCCAGATCCCGTCTACGCTGCCATCATCGGGTTCGTGAGGTGAAAATGGGAGGAATGGGTGTGGATTTAAGGAATGGGGTGTGTAGAGGAGGGAGGAGGGTGGGTACGAGGGTGGGTGCGGAGGGTGGGTGGGTGTGGGGGAAGGGGGGTGGGGGTGAAGAGGAGAAAGGGCTAGGGGAAGGTGGGGGTGGGGGTGGGATGGGGTGGGTTTTTGGATGGGAGGGGAGGTGAAGAGAGTGGAGGAGAGGGAGGTGGTTGGGAGGCTTGGGAGGGAGAAGAGGGGTGGGGAGAGGTTGCAAGGGTGGGTTCTACGTTTTCTAAGTTTTTTTTTAGAAGATACAGGTTTTTATAAAAAAAAGAAGATACAGGTTTTTATAAAAAAAAAAATTTGCCACGTGGCACACATTTGGCAGCCACGTCAACGCTTAACGGATCAATGGATGGAAAATGTAACAGAGGTATTATTTTGAAATAAAATAGTACGTAAGGTATGAAAATGAAATGTTTTAAAGATGTTGTATGCAATTGTAATAGATCTCAAACCTGATGAGGTATTATGTAATTTACCCTTTTATTTTATAGTTTTTTGACTTATTAGGTTGTGGTACTTTCAGGTTTTTCAATTTTTTTTTAATAAATTAAAAGAACTTAAAATGTGGGAAAAAAAAAAAAAACAACCAACACCAGCAACAAATAACTCAAGAGAACTTTAACGAAAAGTTTCCAGTACTGTACATTTTACCGAAAAACCATATTTTTACACTAAAAAGTCAATCCTGGTACTATTCACTTTATCCTTTATTTTGTCCTTATCATTAAAACTCAAAATTTTTATGTCATTTTCATTAATTTTCCTATAACCTCAATGGATAGGCCTGGGTACCCATAATCTAGTGGGTCGTGTTTGATCAAGCTATTCTATGGGTATGGATGTGCCCATTAAACATGCAAATGAATTTGATGGATAACGGGTCATTTTTCATCCTTTGATCAATAAGAGCATTTTTGCTCACCATCTTCAAATGATAATAATGTTTTTCATTTTATCTATCACCATTAGATGACTTTGAATTTGAGATTTGTGTTTATCCATTACACGAATATTAAATTTTAAACTCATTTAACAATGATAAATAAGGTGCATACACCATAGTTTATACCATATGATATTTTTCTGGATCAGGAGAACTTGTTTTGGAAACAGAAGTCCTTGGTTACAAGGTGGGGACAGAAATACAAAGTTCTTTCACATTTGCACAACATTTTTTTTTAACTCTATCACTGGAAGAAGAAAGATGTTAATTTTGAAAATCTGCGGTTAACATCGTCTAGAGGAATATCATCGTTCAACTATGTCATCTGTTGTGTTACCAGCTCCATAAGTATCCACTTTTAAGTCAAATATGCATCAATATTATTCTCAACTTAACATCTTAAAAAAATCAATACTACAAAAATATCAAGCTTAATGGACGTCACATATGAGATTTGATCTTAAAAGAACTCAATGCAATTAGGAGTGGACCATCTATATTTAAACCTTAAACTGTATACTAACATTAGCAAAAAGAACATAACATTGAATTCTGTTAAATACGCTAATGAAATTTTCAATTCAATTTCAATCCATGTAGGTGACATAAACAACTTACAAAAAAGAGAGTGTGGGATCACTTTTTCTGGTATTGAGGTATAATTTACTTGACAAAAATGTAAATTAGTCTTTGCCATACACATATATGTAGATGAATCTCAAATTTTATTGACATCATGTGAGAAAAACTTTGGCGTAACCGAATTTATGTCTGTGAGTGAGCGAAGATCTTTTTTAGGGCATACGTTTACTCTTTAATTAATTTGTGAGATTTGCGATCGCCTCGCTGGTCCTCTGTCTCCTTGCATCTCTTTTCTTTTGTGTGGAGACTTATAGGAATATGTTAAGAAGAATAATTGAATTTGAAGAATTTGGGTTTACTAGTTGCAGTAGAGGCCAAGCTCCTTCCACATCATCATGAGTAGGAGAAAAGCACTTTTTTCCTTATTATACAGAAGTGATTGTGTCATCTTCTTTTTTGGTCTCACACGGTACAAAAAAGGACTCGTAGTAAAAGTGTGTGATTTGCTTACTCAGATTTCCAGCTTTTTTGGAATTAGAAGAGAAAAACAAAGCCTTGGTGGGAGCTGAAGGTTGAAGATGTACATGAAGACTCTTTTTGAATTTACCTAT